CCTTGCGTTTTTTTCTATATAATTTAACTGTGTAAAACGTGTTGCAGTGTCTTACTTGGAGGGCAGCGAACAGACTCGTTTGAAGTGAATACAGGAGTGAAACAGGGATGCCTGCTATCGCCTTTTCTCTTTTTATTAGCAGTGGATTGGATAATGAGACAGACAACATCGGGACAACGCGGTGGCATACAGTGGACCCTTTCCAGTCAGCTGGAAGACTTGGACTTTGTCGACGACTTGGCACTTTTTTCCCACAGTCGAGCCCAGATGCAACAGAAAACAGATCGCCTCAGGACCTTCTCCCGTAGTGTTGGACTCCATATTCACACGGATAAAACGAAAGTTCTACGAATGAATGCAGCCGACGTTCCTATCACACTGCAAGAGGCACCATTGGCGGATGTTGAATCCTTCACCTACCTGGGAAGTGTCATCAACAAGGTAGGGGAAACAGTCGAAGACAGGTCAGAATCCAAAAGGCAAGAGCAGCATTCATCATTCTCAGGAATATATGGATGTCTAAGGAACTGGGATTGAACACCAAACTGAGGATCTTCAAAACAAACGTGAAGACTGTTCTACTGTATGGTTCAGAGACATGGAGGCTCACAACATCAGTAGCAAGGAAACTGCAGAGCTTCGTAAATGGATGAAGAAGGATAGTGGGGATCAAGTGGTACGATCGAGTCACGAATGCTCAACTGTGGGAGAGAATAAACCAAAGGCCAGTAAAGGAAGATATTCAGGTGAAGAAATGGAAATGGATTGGACACACCCTGAGGAGACCCCCGACAAGCACCATCAGGCAGGCTTTAACGTGGAACCCACAAGGAAAGCGTAAGAAGGGGAGACCAAAGATGACATGGAGGCGAGCGGTACAAGCGGAAATTGAAAAAGCGGGGACATCATGGAAATAGATAGAAAAGGATGCTCAGGACAGGCTTCGCTGGAGTAATGTTGTTGATGGCCTGTGCTCCACTGGGAGTTAAAAAAGGGCAAGAGAGAGAATGTAAAACGGGCACCTGTCCTATGCAGCCGCGGCCACCATATTCTAACACACAACCCCTATATAGATCACACTAAGCAATAACACCTGTCTTAGACGGCCACCTTAGTGACTCCATTAGCCTACGTTTTGTCATAAATTGTGCATTGGCCCCTGGCGTTGTGGGTTGTGTCGTCAAAATTGATTCAGAAGACAGTAAAACCAACACACTGCACTGTACATAAATATCATTATCCGTTTTGATTTAATAGTATTATGTTCAAAGAAAATGTGTAATGTAATATGAAAATATATTTATAATGTAATATGTGTCCGATATTCTTTATAATTTAAAAAAGAAATCTCAAACCGACTTTGTTAGTTTATACAATTTATTAAATCTCATCCCTGACTGTAACAATGAGAGGAGAGTTAAACAAACAATCATCGACCATGGCCAAAGGGAAAGAACCGAGAAAGTGGACCAATAACACAGTGCTTTTACGGCGCTCGCAGCTGCATAAGGTCATATGAGCGCGCGGGACACATTAAACATTTTCAGTTGGTAGGAAATTTTGAATTTTGCCCGTGTGGCGGCCGAAGCCTACTCTTATCGATTTTAGACCACCAAGGGATCTTTAACGTGCGCAACTTGCACACGGGCCCTCCGAGATTTTTCGCCCT